AGGGTTGTTTAGTAGTATAATGCAACCACATCAACCATATTTTTGGCATTTGTATGACCCCAAATTTTACACACATATTCTCTTCATCTTCATAATCAATTCTAAGAAAAAAAAGTTCAATTTGCACCCTAGATATGGTCAAAATTAGTACCCATCCAACAATGAATCTCGACTATCCATTTGGTGAAATTCAAGATCTAGGCCTTAACATATTCAAAATCACTTGTTTCAGCATTATTAATCTAATGATGACAACGCAATATAAAAATGTTAATAATAAAAAAATCTTTCTAAGGCCTATATCTAACCATCTTAATCAAATGGATGGCTTATATTAATTGGTCTAGAATGAAAACTTTCTAGAGCATTTTTTCAAAATTTTCTTTTTTGTGATTTTTCTTTAGAATTAAAAGAGTGTACATTTAAAAATTAGTGTCAAACAAATGTCTTTAACATGGTTTTTGAAGATGGTTGTATTATACTACTATACAACCATTGCATGATATATATATATATATAATACAATGGTTTAAAAAAAGAATCAGTGCCTTGGATCGGGCACCCCAAAAACCTATCTGGATAGGTGAATCGGCTGTTTGAATCGGAAATCGGCCGAATCGGTCAAATTCGGTAATAAAAAAATCAAAAAATATATTAAAAATCATTATAAATGTTGTTGTTTAATAATCCAATAAAAAAATGGGGGTACTGCATTAATAACTTTCATTTTTTTCATTAATATACAAATACTGGAATGTTCTTTCCTTGTATGAACTTATGTTAACCATTAAATTTACATCACACAAAAGAATAATCATAGAATTATCATGGATTGAGTATCTTATAATATCATCTAATGTAAAATATATTATTGACAACTGTAGGAAAAATCCTACATTGCATCAAGGTTTAAAAAACAGATCGGTGATTTTTTAAACACTGACCAAATTCAAAAACTAAGACATTATTTAAAAATAAGAACAAATCTACAATGTCTTATAATATCATCGAATTCAAAAAATCTTATTTACAACAATAATAAAAAATAATACATTACAAAATTTATAATACAAATTAATAAATAAATAAAATACAACATTTGATTGTCAATATGTAATTATTAATTATAACATAATAAAAATAAAAATAAAAATAAAGCCCCCTATAAAATTTAATATTATGAAATTAAAATATTTCAAAAAAACTTTATCCTAAAAATTGGAAAATAAAGATACCAAAATTCAAAGAAAAAAAAAAAAGCATCTTGGCAATACACACAAAAGGTAACAAAAAAAATAAAAATAGTAACAAAACTTTGAGTAAGCTTTAAACCTCTTTTAAACATTCAATGTAAATATAAATGATATATTTACAAGTGTATTTTTTTTAGGCAATGATGATTAAGTTTCAAATTTTTAACTTCTACCTTGTATATATGGTTTTTCAAAATTTAACATTAAAAATAAGTAAATGATAGAATGTTGTCACATTCTATGTAACAATAATAATTTATTAAATAAAATAGTAATTTAATATATTAAATTATGTGATATTTTAATATATTTATAACAATAAAATTTTCAATATAGTAATAACAAATTTAACATAATTATAATAAATAATTATAGTTAGTTAACAATTTTGACCTAATTATATTCATTCAATATAATAATATTAACGTCATTTTAATATATTCATATTCACATAATTATAGTGACATAAGTTTAACATAATTATATTGAGTTATTAACATATATAACAAAAATTTCATATAATTATATTAATTCTTGTAAATTTATTATGTGTAATTTGTTTTTTGTATGTATATGTAATTTTATATGTACTTTATTTTTGTAAATTATAAAAATAAAAATAAATATAATTAATTAAAAAGAAAATAAAAAATTTTATTTTGTAGACCATTATTTTATAGATTATTGTTTCCTTATATAAGAGAGAGAGCTATTAATGAAAGGGTGTGGTTTGTATAGAGCCTAGGTTCTAAACAATCAAATTAGAGCCTACCTTCAAATAGTGTCGAGAAATGTGGTTTTGATACTGGAAATCTTTTTGATAGCTTTAAAATATATTTTCATCTTTTTTGTAAGTTTTAAAGCTTTAAAAATATTGTAGATCGAGAGATCTATGAAAACTTGAAAATCTTGAAAATTGACAATCCAAAAATGTGTTACAAAATACAGTATTTCCAAAACCTGAAATCCATTTTTTTCTCATGTCCATGCATCTTGATGTCAAGATGATCAATTTGATGATATTTGGGCATCAAAACAACCTCTTCTAGTGAAATTTTTAGGGTAGGCTCTAATTTGATTGTTTAGAGCCTCGGCTCTATATAAACTTTTCCCTTAATGAAAATGTCTCCTTTTAATTGTAGACTCTATTGCCCAGGCAAAAGAAATATCGCACATCGATAGATGGTGGGAAGAAATATACTTATATAAGTTAGAAAGGTACAACATTTGGTTGTCTTTTGTACCATCAATTTTCAAAACTGGATTAAGAATTGGTGTTATTGATACCCGATTTGGATCGACAATTTTTTAAACACTCTTATAATATAAGATATTTAAATATTATAAATAATATAATAATTTATTTATTATATTAAATATATATTATATAATATTTATATTATTATTTATTATATTATATATTACATATAGTATATAATCAATATATACTATATAATATAGATTACATTAATAAAATAACTATAAATATATAACATGTAATATAATTTAAATATAATATTATATTATATTATATTATGTTATAATAATATTATATTATATTATATCATATTAATAATTGTATATATAATATAGATTACATTAATAAAATAAATATAAATATATAATATAATATAAATATATAATATAATATAAATATAATATAATATAGTGTTATAATTATATTATATTATATTATATTATATCATATCATATTAATAATACTTATATTATGTATTTATATTATGCAAAGTGAATAGTGCGATAAAAATTTAATGAAAGATTAAGTTTCTGACCCCTTTCCTTTCTAGGAACTTAATTTTTTATGTTTTAATAAAGGAATGAGAACTTTTATTGAAAAATTACTTCCGGAATTTTTAGATGAAAGTGTAGGTCAAATGGAGAACTTTTAAAAAATGAGAAAGATTTTTTTAAAAAATAAATCTTTTGGAAAGACAATTACCCCATTAAGTTTTTGTAAATTTACGTACGGATAGGTTTTTATATTGTTATAACAAATGGGCCCAAAAATAAGCTCTTATTGCATGGAACCGCATAACTTACCACGTCGGACTTTGCTCTCTCTCTCATGTCTCACATGATCTCGGGCCTCTCTCTCCCCCTTTTCAAAAACCCCAAATTCTTGGTCCCCTTCTCTCTTTCTCTCTTCAATGGTGATTACAATTTTTTATGCTGAGGAGTCGTGGAGGGTGGAGACAATGCCATTTATGGAGAGTGAGTGAATGCATTGGTTTTCAGTTTGAGACCTTGGGAGGGAAGTTGCTGTTGTTTTCATGTAAGAATGAGCTTGGGTACAGGACACTCGTCTATGACCCTGATGCGGGGGGGGGGTAGAGAGAAGTGGCAAGCAACTGAGTTGAGTTGAGGCCGTCGGGACGTCGGGGACATGCTTGTGCAGCTTGACCATATGTGCTTGAGAGGTCGGTCTCTTTACACAGGTATTGAGACTCTCAATCTCTATCTTTTATGCTTGCGTTGTGTTTGTATATGTGGGAGGTGTCTTCTACTTCTACTAAAGAATCAGTGGATCCATAGGCATTATTTACTTGTTTTGTTTGTTACTTACTGTGCATGTTCCATGAAGAGGACCTAAATGGAGGAGGAGGAGGTGGATGACGTGCATTTACTGGTGCCCGATAAGGATGAACTTGGTGCTAACCCAATTGTCTCTTTTTAAATTTTTTAGTTTTTTAGTTAAGTTTAGATAAATTATCATAAATATATTTTAATGTAAGTTTAATTAGAAAAAAAAACTCAATTTTTGGTTTATCTCATCTACATCATTTTTCCTCATTTTCAGCTTCTTTTTGGACCAAAATGGCCTTCACGGTACTCTTACTACCGTAATACATATCATTTTATACGGTATTTAAAATACCGTAGTAACTTCAAGTAATATTACGGTAATTTAAGTACCGTCAAACTCTGGTCTTGACCGTGAAGCCAATTATGGTACTTTAAGTACTGTAAAAACTAAAACTCATTATACGACATTTTAAGTACCGTAAAAACTAACCCATCTTATACGGCACTTAAAATATCGTAAATCATTTTTTTATTATGTTTATCTCTTTCATCTCTATTTTTTTTATGTTTATCTTTTTTTTCTCTTTCTAATTTTTTTTAATATTTATCTCTTCTTTCACTCTCTAATTCTTTTTTATCTATTCTTTCTCTCTCACAATCTCATCATCGTTTCTTTGATAGATCATGTCTTCTATTTTGCATAGCGGAAGTCATTAATTACTCTATCTAAGGAACCGATGATGAGATTGTAGAGAGAGAAAGAAGATAAGAAAGCATTAGAGAGAGAAATTATAAAAAAAATTAAAGAGAGAAAGAATAGATAAACATAAAAAAAATTAGAGATGAAAAAGATAACATAATGTGAAAAGGGTTCACGGCATTTTAAGTGCCGTATAACATGGGTTAGTGTTTACGATACTTAAAATGCCGTATAAGGATTAGTGTAAGTTTACGGTACTTAAAGTACCGTATAAAATGCCCTCAGTATTATGGTACTAAAAGTAGCGTATAAAATTCTCTAAGTATTACGGCACTTAAAGTACCGTATAACAAGCATTAACTATCGTAGTACTTAAAGTACCGTATAACATGCACTAACTATTATGGTAATACGACTACTGTGAAGGTAATTTTGGTAAAAAAAAAAATTAAAAAATGAGGAAAAAAAAGTTCTGACGAGATAAACAAAAGTTTTGAGTTTTTTTCCAATTAAGCTTAAGTTAAAGTATATTTGCGATAATTTTCCTTTAGTTTATTTTCTTTCTTGCTCTTTCTAGATCAATTGAAATAAGAGCGTTAAGATCTACACAAAATAGTGCCATAAAAAACATCTATTAATTCGTTTATGGACCATGTGAATAAAATTATTGGAGAGAGCCCAAAAAGACCTAAAGTATTATAAGAACTATTCGGCGTATATAGAACAAGAACCCCAGCCTCAAAAGAATGATTTTTTTTTTTTTTTTCTTATGTCTAAGGTTTATTTCTAAAGAAACAATAGGGTTAGTTTGGTCTTCAAATTTTGTAAAAATTTTAACTAAGACCCGTTTCTATGCGGCCAAACTGTATACGTAGAAATGCGGGCCTCTTAATAAATCTATTTTTGCGATGGATTTTAGGATTTAATTATTAAGGATATATAATCTCTAACATGGAGATCATTGATATGAAAAAAATAAATACATTTTAAAAAGTATAAATAATACATTTAGGCTATTAGTTTCTATTGTTTTTAGATGGAATAACTACTTGCATCCATCTTTAAGGTTGATGCTTTACACTTTTTTTACCGCATATGTAGAAATACGGACAATTTTTATTTTTAAGTGTATTCCCTTTCGTATTTTGTTGTTGAGAATCTAGGGATAGAGTTGGAAGTTTAATTAGAAAGAATAGCTAGTTATGGACTTTTAGTCCCTAAAAAGACAAACCAAACAAGTGAAGTATAAATGCAGAGAGTGAAATGCTTCACGACTAATGGTGAAAATATAGAGAGAGGAGGGTAATAGGGTGGCAATGGGTTGGGTCCGCTTGACTCGGATCTAAATCCGAATGTATTTGGATCCAGATTTTATATCGGGTTAGGTCAAAAGATGGATTCATATTCATACGCGTCGGATCCATTGTCATTATTATTATGAGTTTTTTTTTTTTTGTAACCTACGATGGTGAATAATAGAGAGCTAATTGTTTAGGAGTGGACGATTAGAGAGAGAAATTGGAAAAGGGATAATTGTAGAGAGGGGTGATAGTGATGGGTTTTAGAAATCATGGGAAGACAAAAAGTATAGATAGAAAAATTGAGAGAAAGATAGTTGCATAGAGGGATGATAGCGATGTTTAGAAAACTATAGGAAGATGAAAGGCATTGAAAGGATTTTAAGGTTGGGCTCCGGCCTTTGGATAAACTAAAAATTCGGATCCGAGTTTCTGGTTAGGACAATTAAAAATTCGGATCTAACTATCTGTCGGGTTAGGACGATCGGGACCGTACCCAAACCAGGAACTAAGTATCCTTCATTGGACCCGTACCCTACCGCAGGGCATTGGTCGGGTCCGGGTCCATCGCCACCGCCAATGGGTGATGAGAGATACTCAGAGACCCGCGATGTGACACGTGTACGTTATCCCAGCACACTGGTGCAGAAAATCCCAGTGGTTCTTCTTCCTCTTTTTAGAGAGAGAAAGAGAGAGCATGGGCACCTCTGTAATCTCCGCACCCTGGTCCTCAGTTGTTGCAGATTCTTCTCCTTCTCTCTCTAGGACCCAAAATCCAAGGATCAGACTCACTCCCCAAAACCAAACGTTATCTCTCAACAGTCTCTCCAGGCGTTCTCTCTTCTTCTCTGTCCCCTCCTCTTCTCTCATTTTCCTTCTTTCTCTTTCTACAAAACCGCTCCTCTCTGCTCCGTTTGACCCACTAACCCCTTCTGAGAAGAAGGCTAGCATAGCCCTCTCCGAGAGGGTTTCTGATGCCCTAAAATTGCTGGATAAAGGCAGAGAATTACAGGCTCAAGGAAACTTCCAACAAGCCCTGAATTACTTCACGCAGGTACCTAATAAGTCCCTTGCTTTTGCATTTATATGGTTTAATTTCAATAAAAGATTCCTGTAAATTATTTGGCTAGACCTACAGTAGTCGTGACTCGCGAGCTTGAGGTTGTAACTTGTGAATATATTGTCTAGTTTCAATAGAAATGGCTGTAAATTGTTTTAATATTTTGTATAAGTGCCATCATTAGTTTTCTCATGTTTGAACTTATGCCTTGTAATTGCCAGACTCTTTGCCTCTGCTGTCTTCTTGTCTTTTGCTTTCTCATTCTTCTTTTCCTTTTTTTGAATTTGATTGTTCTTTTTCATAGTTATTTTGTTTGGGACATTTTTGGTTCATTGTGTTAAAATCATTATCAACTAGTAACTTTCATTACACACTACACATGATTTAATTGCGTTAAAAAAAATTTAAGAGTTATTTGACTCTTGAGAAATGAGGAAATGGTTAATGGAGTTTGAGTGCTTTACTGTATTATTCTAAAAAAGAGCTCAATTAACATCATTTGGTTGTTGTGTTTTATGGCACAAGGGGTATCAGGAATTTGACATTACCCACTAAAACCTATATTAGGAAGTGCTTTCAAGTGCTAACTAGAACTATTACCTTGAATTTTAAAGGCTGCAATACCTCCTGGAGATACTATTTTCGTAATATTTATCTGAAATCTAATATTTTGAAGTAATACATAATTATTAAGTGCTCACGCACGCATAAAATGTAGCTATCCATCTCCTTCAAAGGCATGTGAGGCTTAAAATGCTATTCTATTGGTATAAAACGAATTATCTGAAACAAGTGTGAATGTAGTTCCTTTTTTTCTTCATTTACCACAAGTAAATATGTTTGCCTGAATCCTCCTTTTGTTTCTTCATTTACCATAAGTAAATATGTTTGCTTGAATACACAAACCAACTGATGGTATTTTAGCTTTGAAAGTTGAAATTGAGATGTAAAAGATAGCATGATCAATATTTGGAAATATGAGATGTTGCCACCGACCATTGCAGTACAATGTGGCCTTCCATAGTCATTTTGTATCCAAATGAGTGACGAGTAAATGACATGCTTTTGTTGCTATCATTATAGTGCGAGTCATGCACATTCCACACCATTGTCACAATTCAATCCAATTCTACAACATACAATAGTTTCAAAGTAGTGATGGAGTAAGCAAAAAATGCTAAGCAATTCAAAGCTGTAAGTTGATGTGTCAAAACTGTAAGAAGTCCATTTCTATATGAAGAATCCTTTACTGCAAAAATAATATCAAAAGAAGTAGACTTTTGATCAATTGCATAATATCTGAGATGATCTCTGAAACTACATTTTGAACATTTACACCTTTGAATTTCACTTTGTGAAGTGTTCCAAAAAAAATATCGTTGGAAACCATTCAAAAAATAATGTTCTGAGCCCTGCTTTTCTCAACATAACACATTCTCTGTATAACCAAAACAAAGTTGGTAATATCGTCTTAAATTTTTTATTTTTTTAAAGTATCCTCTTAAATTTTTAATAAGCGAAACTTCACCATAATTTCTCAACATACCACTATAATTTTCTCAACAAAAACAAGAAAGAGAGAAGCAACACGATAAAGGATTGTAAGGAGCTCTTGATTTCCTATCTATCATTTAAACCCACATTTCTCTAGTTGAGTCAATTAATCAGCATGGTCCTCACTAATTTCTCCCATTTTATTCATTTTGAATATTTTCCAAGAAATTGAGAAAAAAAAAAAAAGGGAAAAAAAAAAAAAGGAAGAAGAAAAAGAAATCACAAGAAGAATGGTAACTTATACTTGAACTATAGATTTCTTTAAATGGGTTGAGAAGGAGTCAAGATTGGACTGCCCATTCTACCAAATGCAACCTCAGCAAGACTTCCATCCACCCATTAAGCCAATGACACGACTGATTTGCCGAGATTAAGGTGCTTTTCAATGAATTATTTGCTAACTAACTCAGAACCATTAAGTCCCGAATATTCAGCTCCATTGTACTGAGTACAGTTTTAACAGATTTGATGGAAGGCTGGCTAGCACTGTAGCTTGCACGTCCACAAAATAAATCAAACGAGAAGACAGAGAAATATAGGGCAAATAATCATAGGGAAAAGATGATATTAGAAGGTGGGAAGAAGGGATTGCGGCTTTCTTTTGCTTCCTTCTCCATGCTTTCCTATTGTCTCCTGTTGCTCTATGGATGGAATCCTGGAGATAACTCTAGAAGAGAGAATCTTGGGATGAATACAGGGAGATTAGAGAGAGAGAGAGAGAGAGAGAGGGAGCTCCATTCGTAGAGGAAAACTAAATCCTGTTTGTTGCCAATGGGAAAACTAAATCTCGCTGGTTTAGAAATTTTTTGGTCACAAAAGTTTCAGGTCAAACTTGAAACTTTGATAATGATGATTATGAGCAACTATTGGGAAATTAAAGGTTGTGATTATTTGTCATGACAATAGGCTATCATAGTTATTATGGATTGCTTAATGTCTTGAAAGTTTCAAGATAAATATGGGTGTGATCAAACAGCCCTAGAGAAGTGCTTATCTATTTAATTTGGATGTGAATCTCTTTGTTGATGAGAGCTAACCACACAGTTCCTTAAGGCTCATGGCATAGGTGACATTGTCACTGTTGCATCATCATCTTTTTCAATTACTTCTGGCCCATAAACTAAGTCACTAAGATATGGAATTGGCTCATCTTGGGCCTATCGGCTCATGCCATAATGTCTTTCTCTCAAAACTTATTTTTTACCCTCTTACAATATCTTCTAATTTGGTTTGTAATTATGGTTGGTAATAAACCATGGCCTTAATTACAGGGAACCCTGGTGGTCAATCTTGTAATTCTTTGTAATTTTTCCTTAATACAAAAGTTTAACATATTCAAAATAAATAAAGGGTTTTGGTAGGCTACATTACTTGTAGTGTAGACCCTTAAAGTGCTTAACATTTTTAAACATTTAGATACCTTTATCTTATAGTATAGTAACTTTTTGTTTAGAGGTATTTTAAGTAATTAGTCAAGGGCAAACTAGAAATTCTTAATAGAAACAAAAGCATTTATTAACAATAGTGGACAATGACATCACCGATATTGTGTGTGACATCGCCCACAAGATGCATTAAGTGTTTTCAACTACTAATAGAATGTCACTATTTTCTTATAAGAATATCCATTCTATGCTTCTAAATGACCAAAAATACCCCTACTTGAAAAATTTTGTATTACAATTCAAGGGTATTTTAGTATCTAAAAATATTAAGCACTTTAAGGGTCTACACCACCAAGTGGTGTAGCCTAACAAAACCCATAAATAAATAGAATAAACCATGGCCTTAGTTATGCGGGTTCAGTTAACTAAGACATCATGTGAATCTGCAAGTACTCCAATTTTTTGCACTATGAAGAACAGGAAAAACTCACTTAACACCCTATTTGTGAGTTGTATCGCATGATATAATCAGCACGTCGTATAGACTCTCAGAGTTGGCATGTGATTTTGATATTTCAAGGATATACTTTCAAACACTCAAGGACCGTGACAGTTACATTCGGTTGATTATAGATTGGTAGTTTATGCATATTTGGGAATATGAAGGTTATGGAGTTAGTGCACACCCACATTTACCCCATGTCACACCCTATGCATGCCCGTCTGATTAAGTGGCACCAATAAATCCAATACTTTCAGCCCAAAAAATAAGCACATCATAATTGAACTTAAACACTTTGTGAAGGTTGTGATTATTGGTAGTAAACATGATAACTGTGATGTAATTGACCTCTCCATTGTTGCTATGCTTATAAAAACAACTGCAACAGTCCATCTCTAATTTTGTCCAATCCTTTAGGTGGTCCAAGAGTACAGTGACTTTGCTTTATCAGACTATGCGAGGGTCGGGAGAGCATTGGCTCTATATGAGGTTGGTGATAGAGATGAAGCCATTGCTGAAATGGAAGATGTTTCCATATCCCTGAAAGGATATCCAGGTGCTTTCCTGCAATCAAGTGTTTATATTAAAATTGCATCTCTCTCTCTCTCTCTCTCATGCATTTTTTCTTTTTCAGAGGTCCATGCAGCTCTGGCAGCAGCATTGTATGTGGACAAGCACGCTGCTTTGCTCGCTGAGAACCAGTTTACAATCGCTACTCTACTCGACCCACACTACACAGACATCTCATATGTTAGAGAAATGAAGCATTGGCCTCCGAGTCTCGTTGCTTCTTTACGACGGTTTATCACTCTAACCTAGGCCTGTTATGATTATAAAGCTGTATTATAGTGATGATAGCTGTATTATGGAGATTACCAGTTTGGTAATCTCTTGTGGCTAGTGCCATAGAACATCATAAAGCTTTTATTCCCATGGTTTCAAAATATCAAACAACCCGAACAGGAGAGGAAAACAATGTTCCCCCTTGTTCAAAATAGAATCTTATAGTGATTTAAAGTTTGTTGTAAAAAGATCCCTTGATTGTATGAATAGTGAACTGTAAGTATTCTCCTATTGCAGTATCTGTGCTATTCGCTGGAACTTTGTTTTCAAAATAGACTCTCTGATACGGCTGCAGGTTATCTCTTCGAAATCCTTTCCAGTAGGAGATATTCCCTTGTGTGTCTCATCTCTTTTCAAATTCTAAATCTGTGTATTCTGGTTGATAATTAAATTCCACAAGGCATTACTTTCTATATATTGTTTGAGGATACTTCCCGTGATTTAACGAACATTAAGATATAATCCTGTGAAGAGTTAAATGATAGAAAAAATGAAAAATATAAATAAAGGAAAAATGATGTGCTCATCCTCTATAGAATCATAATCCCATAAAAGCACCCGGGTCTATGGAAAATCCATAGATCCTTAAAAAAAAAAGAAGGATGTTTGGTCTCCTCCTCAGTTTTTTTGCTGTCTAAATTACAATGTTTATTCTTTTTTTTTTTTAAATTAACCCATCTTATAAATGGAATTGAGATTCCTATTTTGATAAAGTTTTGAATAAAATTAATAAATTTGGTATTTATAGAACTAGAGACCTTGAAAAGGTGTCTACTTTTGCTTTAAAACTGCAACACCAAGTATTCATATATATCTATAAAAGTTCTAAACGTTTTTATTTTCAAATAATAATATGTACGGATGTGTATTGTAGTATTGTCTTTTTAGGCTATAGTACTAATGTACTTTACATCTTAAGCAACTGTCCGACACCGACACTCATATTGGTAGTGTCTAGGAGACATCAATTACATCATGATAACTGATGAATTGTGAAAGTAATCACCACATCATTCGAACCTAGTTCTATTACCTACTTAAAAAGTACATTTTCCAAAATGCTTCAAGATCGGAATTATATATTTTATTTTCCGTTTCCTTCCCACTTTATCTGCCCCTAAAAGCTTTCGAGATCTACATTTTTTCCTTTTCAAAAGTGTGCTTTATCATAAGGAGCAATCACCAAAATACTCAACAAAGTGTGCACATTCGAGTCTTAAATAATATAATACTTACAATTTTTTTGTGAGGGAGTATATTACGAGGTTCATAGTCGATTCCAAAATATTCCGAGATTTTTGTATCAGAAAATTTTCATTCCATCTTTACCACCCCCTAAGATCAATTTCAAGAGAGAGAGAGAGAGAGCATCCTCCATTGGTCGAGGCGAGGACCACTGTTGGGGAAGAGCCTACGGGTAATCGGCAAACTTACATCACGTGGGGTCCACGGCTGCCCACCTAATACGTGCAGCGCTCATCTCATCAACCCCGTGCGCATTTTGCGTTGTTCTTAAATGGATTCTAATGCTCTATAAGCACTCATTTCCTCTCACATTTCAGCGATGTAGGATTAATTTTCTTTGACATTCTTCGACGTGAGATTAATTCTTTTTGACATTCTCCTCAACGTGCCATTTAATCTCTCCTTTGGATCTTCTCCCCAACGTGCTATAAGTATATTTATCCTCTCTCTTTCTCTCTTTTTTTTTTTTTTGGACAAATGTTATCAAATTTTATTGCCAAACTAGAATACGGTCACATTACTTATTCATTACATCATTCAAAATAGAAACAGAATCCATAGAAACACTTCTTTTAGCCAGTCCATCAGCAACACTGTTCGATTCTCTAAATACATGATGGAACGATAAAGATAAATCCCCTTCCAAATTAACCATTTGTACCCAGATCGACCGCATCAGTCAGGGGACTCTTTGTTCCTTGTTACACCACCTAATCACATTGGGAATTACCTTCAACCATTATACAGTGACCCAGATTCATGCCTTTAATAAAAAGTAATCATTTGAGCAAGGCTTTGAACTCAGCCATGTTAACTGTGGCAATTCCAATAGGTCCGGCATAAGAGAATAATTGATCCAGTCCAATCTCGTATCACACCTCCAAGACCAACACTACCCGGATTACCGAGGGAGCTACCATCAAAGTTTAGCTTTAAACAACCTTATACAGGGGGTATCCATCTACCAGCCGCACATCGATCTCGCTTAAACATCTCCCATCATTAGTGACCGACAGCCAGCTCCATATCGTATGAATAATACGCCGGATGAGACCTACATAGGAAAGGTCAATTCTTTCAAAAGCACATCTACTCAATTCTTTCCATAATTCCCAGCACATAACTCCTCTTACAATTTGCCAAACCATTGCCCCCAATTTAGGTAAAGCCAGAAATACTAACTGAGAGAAGATAGCCAACACACTTTGAGGTAGAGCCACACTAAAGCTGTTGGGTTCATGTGGCCTTTAAAGGCCTTATGAGTTCTTATAAAATGAAATGATATAGTAGAACGTGAACTCAGTGGGAGTGTGGTCCCTCGTGAACCATACTAAGCAAACGATGGTTTGCTGATACCGATATCTGCTTAACGATCTAGGCCTGTCGGTTGGGAAAAACTCATGTTACCTAGGCATGGAGTACAAATCGATGAGGGTTTATGGGTTATCCCTTGATGAAGTCAGAGAACATGCCCGGATGAGTGAGCTGAGGGACTGTGTGACCCTTGTGTGTGATGGTGACCAACAGAGATAGGGGCCAAAACCTCATCCATGTACTATCACATGGCATGCATATCGATAGATCGTTCGAGAAAGTCAGAAATCTACCTTTAGGGTGAAGCGTATGCATGTGCGAGAGATACTTCTATGCGTCATAGAGCTGTGGTCGCATAAGGTCTTGGTGACCTTGACTTGTCTCTATGGGAGGACCTGAAATCCACGAACTGGGATTGCGATCCCTTGGCTCATCGGTCGGACTTTGGTGACCCACCAATGAGCCCCTGCTTGGACAATGGATCATGAGAAACACTGTGTCGGTCTGATAAATCAAGTGCGTTCTGTAGTCCAGAGTTGAAGGTGAAGTGCCCCATGATTGTTGATTCCTAAACCATATGGATCATTTTCCCATCAAATTAATTTAATTGTATTTTTTTTATGATGACAATTATTTTAAAATTATTATTTAAATTTTTATGGACCCCTGGATATTTTATTTATAACTTTTGGATTTATAAAATTAAAGATATTGATTTTACAATTGTTTAAATATTCAAATAATATTATAATTTTTTTTATTAATTTTAAATATATAAAAATATCATGGGGGCCCATTGTGCACATGGGCCTGCAATATTTTTAGAAAGTGGGGCCCATGAGTGCCTCCCTTGGGTGGCACGCCCCACCCTTATTCTCTTTCTTATTTTTTGGTGCAATGGCATGTGGCCATATGGTTGAAAGATATTGACTAAATATTGATTTGATATATCTTTGAAAGATTTTATAGAAAGATTGAGTAGAATTGTGCTATTTTATGGTATGCATAATATCTTGATTAGATTTAATTTATTTAATTTCTATTGATGAGAAAATTGTTTAGGAAAGAGGGGTAATAGTTCATGCACCTTCCATAATATTGATGACTCATCTATGGAATAGATAGCTCAGATCTCTCACCCCACAAGTCACCATTGATCGACGGTCTATGTTCAATCTCACAAGAAGAGGCAAACCAAATAAAACCCTAAGAAACCCTAATCTTATTCAAAGCCTATAAAAATAGATTGTCTCTACCAAAAAAATATCTACACCTTATCTTTATATCTCTCTCTTAAGAAAGTTTATCTCTCTCATATTTAATCTCTCTCTCTCCCACATTGTGAAAGAACCTAAGGGTTGAGGTTATGGAGTTCTTCTCTCTTATCTCTCAAATATGTAGAGTTTAGCAAAAAGAGAATTCATCTCTCTCAAACTAGGTTGCTAAGATAATTCACCTAGGATTTAAGTTTGTGATCAAAGGGGTTCATGTTCCATTGGTGTGGCTTGGCTGAAATTTGCTTTCCTGGTTCAAGATTGAAGCTAGACCGTTGATCCCGTACCACCGGATAGTGGTTGACTCGGTGTGTGGTGTAATAAGCCCGGTTGAGGTAATCTTCAACACTCTTCCTTTTGTTTCTTACAATCTTATCTTTTATTCTTAAGCATAGTGCACATCAAATTGTTAAGATCTTGGTTTTATTGTTACGTTGATTTTATTTTGAAATTTATCTTATTATAATAAAGACCACATGTAAGTGATCTTTTGTCAAAAGAAAGGGGTGAAGAAAAAAAAAATATATCTCCCAGTAAAAGATAACGAAGGGCTTTCTTTCAGAAGCCTAGCGTACCAATGAAGAAGCAAGTGCGAAATCGACTCCCCCATCCTCTTTACACATCAAACACACATTTGGCAAAACCTTTCCTCTTTTAATGAGATTATCTATGGTAAGAACCTTATTTTGCCATGTCAGCCAAATAAAACACTGAACTTTATGAGGAATGGGTCATTTCCAAATTTGGGAAATTTGGGGCAAAGACTACCTGTGACAATCGTGGAACAAAAAGGAATACACGGCTTTTACCGAAAAAAGATGATCCTTACTGTGCTCCCAAATCACCTCATCACCAATATTATTGGACAGCACCACCTCCAGTAATTGTGATAACAAACTCGAGACCTGCACTACAAAATAGTCATTAACATGATTATAAGAAAACTGGAAACTAGATATCACACCCCACTTGCTCTCCAACAACCTGATAGGTTTTACATATCAAAGCTTTAGGGAAAGAGGCATTAGTCAAAAAATCATGGAAGGAAATCTTCAAAGGGCTATCACCTATCCACTTATGGTGCCAAAACGAAACTAGAGTGATATTCCCCACACACCACCTAATATCTCTAGTTGATAAGCTTTGAACAAAAAAATATCTTTCCAAAAGACAAACCTTGATGCACTTCTTCTACCTCCTTCAATCCAAACTCCAAACCTATCAATATTGTATTTTGTAATAAAAACCTTATTTGAACAACAAAATACGCCACTACCACTTTTTCAACAAGGTCTCATTCATCAAAGGCACTCTTCGAATACCAAGACCTCGGTCGGATTTAGGGGTACACATTCTATTCCATCTTAACAAATGATGTTTCTTATTCTCCTCAAAAGACCCTCATAGAACCCCCATAGAAAACTATACATCAT